TCTTGTGCGACCTGACTTGGGCAAGGGGTTGGACTGGGTGATCTCCAGAGGCCTTTCTAACAACAGATGGAAAACTGAGTGAACTTGTTTAGAAAAAGGTTCTGATCTGTTTAAAAACAAACAAATCAAAAGACATATCAGAAAAATACATGATTTGGAGCCCTGAATCTCTTGATTCAGCCTGAAGTATGCCTGCTGGGCACAATAATTTGACTGTCTCACATTTCCATGTTTCCTGGTGGCCAAACTGTCTCACCATTTTGGGGCTTAGAGAACACACGGAGCTCAGTCAGAGATGTGCTGTTGAGCAGCATGGAGATAAAATTCTTATTAGCAAACACATCTTATGGAAGAAAACAGCAGTGAAAATGTACAAATTGTAACCCTGATGGCTTCACTGGGCGTGGAGAGGTACAGTTTAATGGTGAAATAAAACCCCCAAAAGAGCTTACCTACCCGCAGAACACAGATCTTACCTCCAAATCAGCTGTGTAGTGCTATACAGAGATGCTGCCTGGGTCTTGGGTGCTGTATAGCCATAAAACTATAGAATCACAGAATGGTTTGGGTTGGAAAGGACCTTAAAGCTCATCTATTTCCAACCCCCTGCCATGGGCAGGGACACCTCACACTAGAGCAGGTTGCTCCGAGCCCCTGTGTCCAGCCTGGCCTTGAACACTGCCAGGGATGGGGCAGCCACAGCTTCTCTGGGCACCCTGTGCCAGCGCCTCAGCACCCTCCCAGGGAAGAGCTTCTGCCTTAGATCTAACCTGAACTTCTCCTGTTCCAGTTTGAACCCATCACCCCTTGTCCTGTCGCTCCGGTCCCTGATGAAGGTCCCTCCCCAGCATCCTTGTAGCCCCCTTCAGACCCTGGGAGCTGCTCTGAGGTCTCCAGCAGCTTCTCTTCTCCAGGCTGAACAGCCCCAATGTTCTCAGCCTGTCTCCATACGGGAGCTGCTCCAGCCCCTGCTCATCCTCGTGGCCTCCTCTGGACTTGCTCCAACAGCTCCATGTCCTTCTCATGCTGGGGACACCAGCCCTGCACACAGTTGATGCAGCCCCGCACACGGGTGGTTTCTGGGCTCAAGCACACACCGAAGCAGCTCTCATTCAGTTTCCCATCAAGCAATGCCCCCAGGTCCTTCTCCACCAGGCTGCTCTGAATCTCTTCTCTGCCCATGTACTTGTAAGAATACATGTATGTGCAGAGAGATGTGAGATTTCAGCTTGTAGTCAGCATGATGTGGTTTCAGACACAAGCTAGGCTAGAACATTTGGGGCCATCTCTGGTCTATCTGCTGTATTTTGAAATGAAGATATACTCCCTATTTTGGGCTAGGGCTTGGGGTTTTTTTCAGTACACTGAAGCAATCTGAATTGAAATTAATCCATTCAAAACAAAATGTTAGGGGTTTTTTTGTTGTTGGATGTTTGGAAAATTGCATTTGGGTAGTTTTGCTTTGCAAAATCTGCATTTGCCATTAAAAAGTTGATTCCTAGCCAGCTGAAAATAAAACATTGAATAATAAGAAACGCTGGGTATTTTTGGTGTGGTTATTTTGGGGGGTTTGCTGGTTTGGATTTATGTCTTTTGGAAACCTTGAAGTCCCAGAGATGAGGTAACTGGGAAAAGTGATCAATAAAAACAAAGTAAAAGATGCCATCTTAACCTGAAACTGCCTAAGAGGGAATGTGGGAATTAACTACGAAGCCCAAAAAAATGGATGGTTTATTTAGTAATCTGCAGGGCAGTCTCTGAGCACCATGAAAAGTTATGGGAAAGCTCTCAAGAGATAAAGAACAGATTCTTTCCTGCAGGGATTTTCTAGAAGTCTTCCTGTGCCGATGCTTTTAAAGCCAGATCCCAAAATTCCCATTCCATGACTTGCCTAGTTTATCTCGTTGGCCTGAAGCATATATGAAAGGCTGTTTGACGCTGACCATCTAAATCAGACCTCAGTTTGGTGAAAGAACTGTTTGGAGCCCGTGACCTCCCCTGCCTCTTAGTTTTTGTCAGGAGAGTGCTTTTTATGTACTCTCTAATGAATGTGCTTTGATTTGTGTTGTGGAGCAGTCTCAGAGCATGTAAATAGATTCCATTTTGACACAGGTAGAGAAACTTATGCAAAAATGGTGAGGAAGTCATCTTTAGAAAGGGGAAGGAAACCCAGTAACAGTCCCATATCTAATATTCTCAATACGAGATGGATTTTTTCATGGAAGCACTGCTCTGCTTCTCTATAAGTACGATGATTCTCTTGTCAATTCATTATTCTTTGTGGGCAAAGATGAAGCTATCACTGAAGTCACAGGAAGCTTTATCAATTTGTTCATACTTGTAATACCACCCGAATTTTCTGAATACTATTTAGAACAAAACCACCTTTCTTGGTCTATGCCCTGGAAAAAACCTTTATCTAATCATGTAAAAAGCCTGTGAAATGTATAGTGATACATAACTTAAAGACATATATATTCAGGTAGCATGTTCTAGAACTAACTGAAGTTCTATTACACATGTGAGGTTGATTCTGGAAATAAAGGCATTAAAAACATACAGAGAGACACAACGATTACTGAGCTGCTGCAGAAAAGCGAAGGACATGATCAAACACATGTTTACCTATATGCACAGTAAAGCATTTCTTCCAGAGAACTGAAGATGAAGAGCTAATATGAAATCACTCCTTAGGTGTGGTTAGCTACAGTGTACTAGGGACGATCAAAACCACCTATGTTGTGGTGTAGCTAGTGCCGTATTTGCCTCCAGTTTGATGTCAGTGTTACAGTCAGCCTAAGCACTTAGGCTTGTGAGAGGGGGTGCCTTGCAATTGGGGTGACCAGTTAAATTAACTAGAGAGTCCACCCAGGTACATTTGGTATGAAACTGTCACTGAGCTCCTCAATGGACACAAAAGGCATAAAACCCCAAGTCAGTATCAGAACAACAAGCTTGACTGATTCATGGCAGTAAGGTTTCTCTTAAGACATGGGTCAGACTGCTGGGGAGCATGATAAAGTTGGCCTTTCCAGTGTCTATTGGCAGTGTTCCTAAGTGTCTTATTTTGCTGTTTCTTATTAATTTCAATTTCTAGGAAGAGTTTTATGGAAAAGAATTGATCTTGGCTGACAGAGAAACAGTGGAACAAGAAGCAGATAACATTTTAAAAGACGCCGATGTGTCTGATGTCGCGTTTCTTGTAGTTGGCGATCCTTTTGGGTAAGACAAAGCAACATGTGAAATCTTGCTGTAGCTTGGCCACTCTCTTTTGTCAATAGGAAGGAACCATACAGCGTAACTGTAATTCTTTATGAAGAAGCTGATTTTCAGACCAGAAGCACGTTTTATTGCATTAAAAATATACATGCAATTGTCTACACTTTATTTTGCTTTGGAGTTTCCTTGCCCAGATATTCCTTATAGATAGGAATGGGGACCCTCCAGGATGTATGAATCTTTCCTTCAGCAATCTCTTATTTCATTCTTCACGCTAGCTTCTATAGAGAATATTTTTGCTCCTTGTTTTATCTGCTAACACAAGAAATTCTGGGGTATCACATAATGAAGAAATGTGCTCTGTTTTGAGAGGGTATTCTTCTAGTTGCTCTTTGTACTTATAAATGTGGCTTTCATGGTCAGTTGCTGTAGAATGAATGCTGATTGTTGGTTGTACAGTGCTGCTGCTTTGATACATGCTAGTTTTTAAAATCACGTAGGTTGTTCAATGTGTCTTCACCCTTTGGTTTATTAAGCCTTTTGTTTCCACTTTTTATTCCTAGTTTTCTATCACCAGAAGGATCTCCTTCTGTCTTTGCAGTCAGGCATCATCAATCTATAGATGTCAGGCTATACAGAAGAGCTTTTAGTCTCCAGCTGGTGATTCAAGATTTATACCACAGTGTGAAGGGGCACAAGAAAAATCAAATCACTGAGCAGCCCATTTGTGAGTGAAAAAATAGAGTTTATGAAAGAGAGGAACAGTGTGCACATCTGTCAAAAGCGGGTAATCTATGGGAATTGGGAAGAGGAGATGATATTAAACTAGTACTTATGGACAGATGATGCTGTATTTCAGGAATATTAATTATATTTTCAATGCATGTCAACATGAAAATGAGGCTTCACGTAGAGTGTAGAGCCACATTACCTGCACCCTTGTGCTCCAATCCAGTGACTGATAAAAGCACACAAGATCAAAAAAACAACCCACATGTATTGAAATGAAGTTGTTGCTTGTAAGCAGTATCTTGATCTGCCTCATATCATTAGTTTCAGTGCCCAAATCCTTCAATTCTGACTAATACACTACATCATTGTGGAAAACTACCCTTTTTTGAATGAGTTACTTGTGTCTAAATGTCTATGTTCTTCATTCTTAATATTGCAGCTAGAACTCCTATGCCCTCACAGAGCCCTAAGGATTTAGGGGGTCCTGAGCTTACTAGGAAAGAGTACTGAATGTTTCTGTCCTAAGAGAAGCTACATGGGAGGAACACAGAAGCCATGTGACTGCAGCTGATCATGGACTTTCATGTATGTGTGCAGGTCAGAGGAGTGTTTAGTCTTAGGAAAGCTCAGGTGTTGGTGGTTAATAGTTCATGTGATAAAAGAAGCTGTGCCCCTGTCCTTGTTCTTAACTGTTGTTCACTGCAAGTGGTTATCTGCATATGTGGTAACAGTTATGGATGAGCTAGTAGGAACCTGACAAGTTTAGCAGCATACTGGCAACCGCACCTTCATCTAGCTTGGAGCTGACATTCATATTACTACTACCCACAACACAAAGTCTGTATTGGTGACAGAAAGTCCTACTATAGCTCTGGGTGCAGAGGGCTGACTCCTCGAAGCCTTTGCTGGTACTAGCCAAGTGCTCCTTGTCCTGTGTGTGTGAAGGGAATAATACAAGACCCTAAAACTAGTCCCCTCTTCTCTCAGAGCAGGCATTCCTAACCTAAGTTTGTTTCTGGAAGTCAGGCAGTCAGTTTGTTTACGAACCAAAGTGCTGGTTTAGATCACTTTACTGCATTCTCTAGGCCTGGAGCCTGTGTGTATCAGGGTCTCCAGTTTCCCAAATTCAGATTCCTTCAGTTTTTCCTTCACTGAAATTGATTTGTGTTTTAAGTGATTTCAAGGCCACGTTCGACAGGACTGGGAGCAACCTCGTCTAGTGGAAGGTGTCCCTGCCTGTGGCAGGGGCTTGGAACTGGATGAACTCTAAGGTCCCTTCCAACCCAAACCCCTCTGTGGTTGATCTTTCCAGCCTTCTAGCTGCTGCCACGTTTGTGTTCCAATCTGAAGCACCTGATCTGATTGGTGTTAGTCAGACATGCAGTGTGAAAATGAACAGACTGAAAAGCAGGGTAATTCTGTTAGGGTAACTAACTGAATGAGGCCAGGGTGAAAGCATTCTGATTCCTTTCTTTGCTTCCTTCTTTGGAATGGCCACCCAGAAACCTGTAGTACCTCTTGGCAATGAGACGACTAAGGCTATTGTTTAGGTTTGATAAATTTAGGCAAGTGCATTTTCATATGTCACATGGGAAGTGGAGTGCCTAACATGTATAGAAGCATACATGCAAGCAAGATACGTAAGTAGACATCGTTGCAGTTCAAAGATGTGCTGGATTCATATTGACCATCTTAGAAGGACTCTGATCCCAATCGCGTTAACTACAAGCTCAGGAATTCTTGCAGCAGTCACTGCGAGGTGTTTATTAGGCATTAGACCTGGAGCCAAATTTAGCTCAGTTCTAAGCTTAACTAGAAGTTTCTTAAGTACTTCAGAAAAACCTGAGCACTCGAACTTGGGCATCGGTAGTTTGAGTAGTTTGGCTTAAATGTTATAAAAGTCAGTTTAGTCTAAGGATGTTTCTTCCCAGTGCTGCATGCAGTTTACCTCAGTTCAAAGCCCTGTTTGAGTGTGTTGCTTTCCTGGCATGCACTGGTGCAGATGGAGAAGGCCTGGCTGTACCCTGGGTAAGGAAACATTGGACTTGTGCTGAAGTCTGTGCCAAATGGAGTTGACCTTTACCGTTCTGCCCAGACACCTGCAGAAGACAAAGCATAAGTGGAACTTTTCCTTTTCAAGTCCTTGCCAAAGCTGCTTTTTGTAACAATTGTGTTGGTGTTAAGAGTTTTGATGATGCCAGGAATCTGCAAAAAGCCAGAACATATTGATGACACCTGTATTTTCAGCTAGGGAAGATGACACATGGAAGCCTTACTGGAGTTTTTACTTTCCAATTCCAATTAGTTATGTTTTTGTTGCCCTTTTGGCACCTCTGCATTGCCCTGGTTGCGAAGGGTTTAATTTTGCTTTCAAGACAAACTGCTATGCTCGTAACACTTGGTCACTTCATCCTTTCAATCTTTAATCCCTTTATTTTCCTAACACAGGGCCACGACACACAGTGATTTAGTACTACGTGCAGTAAGACTGGGGATTCCATACACGGTCATTCATAACGCTTCAATAATGAACGCAGTGGGCTGCTGTGGTTTACAGGTAACATTTTACACATATGCTATTCCACAAGTGCTAAACTGAAAAGTGGTGAGCTCTTCTCCTGCTGTGGCAATGCATGTTGCAATCTGGAGTTTGAAGATCTGTAGGGACTGTACCCTTCTGTTGACAGAATTTGTTAACACTTCCTTTTCAGCGTGCTGCACATCAGCAGAAGTCCCTTTTGATGAGCACATGTGTAAATGAATAGTAACACTTCTATTCTGCTCTGCTCTCTAACTTCCCCCTGCCCCAGGAGACTTTGATCTCTTCAGTTATTTTACAGATAAAGCTTTGCTCATGTTGGCTTCCTTCTACTACTGATGGTCACCTGTTTAGTTTTAAATTAGGTTGTTATCCTTTTGAGAGATACACTGGTCTTGTCATGAAAGGAATACATGCACAAGCCTGTCTGTATGCCCAACTGAGATCACAACTGATTCCAAAATCTTCTATATGGTGCACTTTCTCTCCAAGGTTGACCTGTCTTCACTTTTCTGCCCATCTCTTGGGAGGGGAGAGATTTGCCTACCCAAGGACTAGAAGAACAAGTGACAGGTTTTGTGCTTCTTGAATGGCTAAAGTAGAAAAGATCTGGTGTGCGCCAAGAAAATACTTTGAACTATTTCCTTTTACACATGTATAGGTCCATTATTCCTCTTCCTGCATGAAAAACATTATGGCAGTGTATGTATCATAACTTACTTGTTGTCATTCATTATTTTAACATAGAACCTGCCCTCTCAAGGTTCAGAACAGTTCTCTGTGTATAGGAACCACTGAACCAAGCTCCCACTTCACCAAAACCGAAGGCAAGCACAGGAATGTAGGTGTACCACAGACAAGAGCTGAGGCTTTGAATAATAGGTTTTCATCACTGAAGGAGGAAATATTCCTTCCTAGCTTAACATGAAAGAATACCATTCTCTTTAATTTCAACAGACAACTGACACCTTCAAATTCACAGTGACAATCTCCTTATCTCAGTGCTGCCCAGCAGCAGGAACTCTGCTGCAGTAAGTTGGGTATTATCTCTGGCTTTGGTCACATCTGAATGGCCTAGAAATGTGGGAGCCCTGTCTGCTCTGGCAGTGGAACAACACTGCCTTGACACCTCTTCTGAGCAGTCAGTGCTAATGCTGAAGGGAATGCAGCACAGGATTCACATCATTTGTCATTCTTTAGTGATACCTGCCTGTGGCTGTAAGACTTGGGTAAAATTATCTTTTAGGAAGGAAATAGGCTCCTTGGTGTCTAAAATCTACCATGTACAGCAGACAGATGGCAGCTGCTCCATGACTGCACTTACTGGGGTGGGTAACACAGGTCTTGAGGCTGGGGCTCACCCTTTCTGCTTTTGGCTTCAAGGTGGTGCAAAGTTTGCTTGTGCTGTCAAGCTGCTGACAGTAGTTTCTGCTACTTGCTGTCTTTTTACATCCATTAAGAAGGAAGACACAAGGCATGTGTTCTCAGTGAGAACAGATGACTAGGGTTTCTGAAGGCCTGCTCCCCCCCAGAACTCCAGCTAGGCAGAGGAAAGAGGAGTACAGAGCTCTGAGGTGAAATGAAAAACAAGAAGAGCAGAAAACTAGCTGGAAATATATTGCAAGCAGTCTGTAAGGTTTTTCACATAGGCACTTTTGGAGGTTAGCTTACTATTTCCTTGTCCCATGCTGAAGAGAACAGTCCGTGAAGGAAAAGTGATGTTACTCACTCTGGCACTGGTGCCCTTTTCCATTCTGGCTGGGGAGGGGCTGCCTTCCCATAAGTCAACATTCCTGTTGTTGTATAAGGTGTTTTAGGAAGTGGTGATCATATTGTGTTACCAGACAGACTATAACAGCTGGATTCAACTCTTCATTGCTCCTTACAGGCATAAACAGCAAGTGAGGCTGTCTGGTTAAAAAGCAGCCTGTGATTTAATTAGAGTATGGTGGAAGTTCCTAAGTTCTTTCAACAGTCTTTACATTCATGGCTGCCTCCTGCCATCAATTTAGTTTTGGAGCTGCTGTGGTTTAAATTGCAAACTTGCTGTCAAGTGTAGCAGGGATTCCTCTTTTGCTTCACCACAGAAAAGGCTGGGCTTTTTTTCTTGTGTTAATCTGATTGTGATACAAAACCTCTTTCTTTCTTACTAGAGAAAAACAGGAAACACCTTTATACGTTGTTGTGAAAGCCACGTGTGTAGTGAGCTGTAGCTGCTGATTAGGCCTCAGTGAAATGCAGCTACAGCCCAGTGCCCAGTCTGCTCACAAAAGAACATGTCTTTTGTCATCAGAGCGATGTTTCTGTGCAGCCAACAACATTCTGGGAGTTGTGCAGTTTTCCTGAGCAGCAGCGAGTTACTGGAGTGATCAGTGATGGTTCATCACCTTCCTAAATCTGTTTCTTGCCAATCTGTAAAGAAGGGTGAAAATCTATTTTCAGATACTTTGTCTTTTTTTTACTGTCATGCCCATTTAACAGACTCGGCTTGGAAGGCTGCATGGGTGAAGAGTATATTGGTGCAAAGACCAAGGGGTTTTCTTTTAGCTTCAAAAGTTGAACTCTTTACTTCTAGGAAGCTCTCAGAGGTTGATGCAATGAGCTGTAGTTATTGAAAGTAGAGGATAGTATAACTTAGCAAAATACTAGTCTGGGCGTAAGGCTCTACGACTTGCTGTGGCTCCTCCTTTTAGGCTCTTCTTGCTGAGCTTCACTGTGTCAGGCTGAAGAACATATTTTCCCTCAAAATCAAATGAATACGGCCAGGATGGGAGGAGAAGCCAGGAAAAGTGCCTGCGCATGAGCACCTCTTCACACGCTCTCTGAGGTTCACCTCTCTTGGCTGGTGTCTGAACTGTAGCTATGTTGATCACTCTGACTCCTCTTGTAGTAGGGAACAAGCAGCAGTGAGGAAATTCCTGCAGGCTGTGCATACTGCCAGGGAAGTCAAGGAGAGAGGACAGGAGTTCTCAGAGAGCACTTCTAGTGGGTGGTCACTAGTGGGACAGTTCAGCTTTCCCCACTGGCAGCTGCACTGTGGTTCCAGAGCTTTGGAAAGCTTAGAATTATACTATCATAAACTATAGTTTACTGTAGTTACTATCACTTATCACTGCTCAGCTGCCTTGTGAGCAAGACATTGCCTTGGCTCTGTTCAACTAGGATTCAGCATTGCAAGCTGAGAACAAAGGGAGAGGCCAAGCCTTACTTCCATGGCTTTATCTGTACCCACACTCAGTCCTGCAGAATAGGGCTGATCGCTGAGGCTTTTAGGCCTGGAATAAAGAGGCAGAAGACTCAGGATCTCAAATTTACACCTTTTTCCTTCCTTCCTAATCTGCATCACATCTGGGTTCGTTTGGGAAGGTCACCAGATGGGTGCTCTCAGGAGTGAATTCTCTCTGACCCGGTTCTGGTAACGCATCCTTGAGGGAGCAGTATGGGTGGTCAGACATGTGAGAAAGACTCTCCATCACACTGACCTGTGTGAAAGATGCAACTGGAAATGCCCTGAGATAATGGCATTACTGTAAAAAAAAATGATTGAGAGTTAAAGTGCAAAGCTAGAGGCAAGCCATAGGATGAGACAAAAGACTAAAGGGAGCCACTCATTTCTGGGAGAGTGGTGTTGCTGGCTTTGAAAGCATTTACTTTCTATTTTGGTAGGGGAGCTACCCCATGTCATGGCAGAGACCTGCCTCTCTTTTGAGACATACCCACTTTCCACCTGACTAGCTTCAGAACAAACATCTGCATGTCCCCTTGTGTCTTTCAGTAACTCAGCTTGAGGCTTTTTTGTTTGGAGGCCACCTCATTCTTGTAAGATCCACAGTTAGGAAATAGTTCTGTCTCTTCGCTGCTCGCTCACCACTGAGACATGAAAGCAGTGCTCGCTGGGGCGGGGGGTTGAGTGTTTACTGACCAGGTGAGTACATTTACAGTGTCAAGTACAAAGCTGTTACAGGTTAGGAAGTTGAAGGATGCTATCAGCACTCGCCGAGCTCAGAGTCAAACAGAAAACCTGTAGTAGCTGCAGGAGCAGAACCTTTGAGTTCCACCCTCATCTTCAGAAATACTCTTTGCTCTGATAGGAGGGGCCCTGTGCAAACTGTTTTTTATTCACCAACAGCTAAACTGTTTCCCATCATGGGTTGGTTTTCTCACAGCCAGCTTCTGAGCCTTTTAGAAGTTGTTTCTCAAGCCAATTAAAGGTTAAATTAGTACTGGTCACACTACTTCATTACTCACAATTGCTGTACAACTCGGTGCCTTTTGTCAGCAGCAAACACGACCCAGAAGCTTTCATTTGATCAGAATAGATTTTTTTCTCCATTTAGAGAACTGTTTCAGATTAGGAATCCGAGTGACCAGGCTGGGAGGGAATCCTTGTTTGACATTGCTGGGAAGAGCCTTTGGAGGTTATTAAAGATAAGGTGACATTACCTTGGAGTGAAAATCCTGTCCTGTTCAACTTTGCTTGGAGCTTCTGAGTCTTCGACAGCTGAATTTTGTTCTACTTGTGGAGTGGCTGTTTCCTAAGTGCTGATACAGGAGGCAGCCAAGAGGAAAATGGGTTCTTCCCTTCAGCTGCTTTTACGTGATTTGTCTCAGCTGCCTCCTGAAGACTTCAATCATGTGTAGTGGGCTTCCCCCAGCTAGACATTCTTTTCTTCCCAGTTCCTTTCTCTCTGGCATCTAACAAGGGGACTGGAGGTTTCGGGACAGCTGAGCCAACCCGTTAGCTTGCAGCAAAAAAATGAGTCAGGGCCCCTTGTGTGTGAATGGTAAAGACTGAATTTCATGTGAAGGTTCTATGAGAGGCATTAAAAGTTGCTGGGGGTCTGTGGTTCTAAGTAAGGTAGTGGTGAAGGGCTAGAGCTCGGCTTGTGGTTGTTTTATATGACCAGTTACAAGCAAAAATGAAGCTTGACTGATTCTTGGTGCCTCTTTGTTGATGGTTGTACAACTTCCTAAGCTGTTCTCTGTCAACAATAGATAATATAAAAACCAATAGGAGCACTTTAATCTGATGTGTATTTGGTCTGGAGGGTTGTTAACTTGTTACAGAAGGCAAGGGGGAAAATCTGACTGTTAGGTTCCTTTTTACACGGGTGGATGTTGCACAGCATCATGTCAAAACGCTTACGACAAGGATAAACACAACAGGTCTTAGCTCTTCTGTGTGTGTGCACTGAGACTGATGGAGAAACAACCTGGGGTAATGCAAGGTGCTGCCTGGCCTCCAAATTCCATTGAGAAGCAGCCTCAGGAGAAGCAAACCTGGTGGTGTCTGTCAGTGGGCTGTGGTCAGCCTGAGACCTGTCTGCAGCGTAACCTGGGACCACCTCAACACAGCAGCCGAGGAGGGCTTCAGTCCAACAAGGTTTACAGGCATTGCATGTGTTTGCGGTGCCAGGCCTGAGGAGTGTCACAACCAGACTCCTTTTCACCTTCCTCCCCTGACATCTATCCAGTTCTGAAGCTGTTTGAAATGCTAGGAGAGGCGGTAGGCTTGGAAGTGAAGAACTGCTTTGTCACCATTGCAGCTGATACAGCAGTAATTCTGGGAAAGATGCTGTAAAAATAAATGTCTGTGTTTTGAAATGTTTACTTCTTGGTTTCTCTGCAGCTGTTGCCTTACTGACCCTTACTACTATCTTGCATCTTCTCTGCTGCTTGCTTTAGTACTTTCTAGAGGGGATGGGGTATCTTCCTTTTTTAATTTCCCTATTTAGTTGCAGCTTGTTCCTTCTTTTTACAGCCTGTATTTTTGTGGTGATTAGCCACAAAAGAAGTGGCTAAGTGGCTATTTTAAGTGAGAACTGTTGATCTGGACAGCTTCAGGTGCCTGTTGTCATTCAGACTGGCCATTAACAAAGTTGTTGAGTAGTTTCAGTGGCGTTTCACTTGCGGGCAGGCTTTCCAAGCCGAGATCATGGGACAACTCTTGCTCTCTCAGAAATGATTCTGGCCTCTCCATCGATTCTGCTTATATAAACGACAATGAAAATATGAAATACCATTAACAGAAGAGTTCAAACTACTAGCTGAAAACAGGCACCTCAGGACCAAAATCTGTCAGACTTTCATAGTGTGTGTGGAATAGAACAGGATGTTAGAGAATGCTCCGAGGTGGTAAAAGTGTGCGTTGAAGAACAGCTTTCTGCAGTATTTGGTGAGCAGGCAGAGCATTGCCTCCGAGCGCAGAGTCCTGGCTCCCCTTCCTGCCTTCAGCTCTTGCATTGCAAAACTGAAGTGCTCAAAGCTTTGTGGAAGCCCAATTACTACTTGGGGGGGGAAAAAAAAGAAGGAGTATTTCCAAAGACTGAGGTCTTTCAAAATGACCTTTCGAAATGTTTCTGTGAAGGTTTTAAGCGTGAAGCAGAAGGTGAAGAGGTTTCCAAGCTCGGAGCACGGAGCGTCTGTCCAAGCGTTTCACTGAGCCCCCTTTGAAATTGCAGCTCTTTTGTGGCCGAGCAGAATGGAGGCACTCCAACAAATGTGATGATTGGTGCAAGTGTGATGCTTGAGATGTTTTAGCTTGTACAGAGCACATCTTGTCCCCTCCTAAAGCCCAGCTGCTCCGTGTAGAGCGCAGCACACACAAACTGCATTTGCTGTTGCCTCTCTTTAAAGCTTTGCCAGCAACCATACAGCATCCGTGCATCTTACACTGAACACATACAGAGCTCTTCAGTGGCTTATTAAACTCCTTCACAATCTGAGAGCACGACATTAATCCTCAATGTGCTGTAATGCACCTTGGCTAACAAATTGTCACAAGTTTAGTCCAGTGACAAGCATAATATCTTGAATTTTGGGGCCGTATTGAGTCTTTTATGGTTGGTGGAAAGAATCCTTTTTCCTTTCAGTGGATTCTGGTTCTAGTGGACCTGCCGTCCCCTGTGACTGCTGAATCCTTAGTGAATTTTGGGTACTCACTTCTCTCGCTGCAGCAAGGCTTTTCTTGAAAGTCTGATACTTCATACTAGATTTCAAGAGGTAGAAATCAGGACACAGCACAGGAAGCTCTGAGCAACAAAGTGAATCCGCGTGAGGTACAGGGAGGGAGTTCAAAATGCAAGTGTGGTACAGTTGTGTGTTGCTGCTTTAATGCAGGCTTGCTGCGGTGGGGGAGCAGTGCCTGTGTTTCCATGAATGCCACATGTCTGCAGAGATCAGGTGCTGGGTGAGAAAGAAATACTTGTGTCTGTAGAGGTGCTTGTAAGGGAACTGGTAACTGGTCAAGCACAACAGGGGTATCCGTTCATTGCTTCACTTCCACAGCGTTCGTGGGTCGCTGGTGTACCAGAAAGTTCCCAAAGAAGTGTCTTCCCCTCTTTAATTTAAAGTAAAAATATGTCTGCAGTAATGCAGGGAAATCTACTCTTTAGAAGTTTAGTTAAAGTTGCAAAGGCTTTTCTAGGAGGTTAATAAAACATGCCCTGTTCCCTCTTGTTGGTGTAGAAGCCGCTTCTGTGCTGTCCAGGTGCTGAGAAAACAAGTGTATTGGGGGGAGCCTGTAAGTGCAGTTTTCTGTGATCTCAAGTCTTCATGAAGCTATTTTGAAGTTATTTCTACTGAGTGGGCAGGCAATTCCTGACAAAAATGGTTTATTCTTTTTGGCATTCAGACTTCAAAACCTGGTGAACAAAGGGCAGATTCAGTGCCTCTGACTGGCAGTGCTTGCACAGAAAGGACAACTCGCTTAACTTCTTGTTGGCACATATGATGGAGAATCTCCGTAATGATCACTGGAAAAGAGAAAAATAACACTGAGAACAAGTGCTGCAGGATATAAAGCTGAATGCCCACTTGTTTTTAATATGTGGCACAACAGTCTCAAAGATTCCTAACAAAATACTGACCAGCTAATAACATCTTACCCGTTTCTGCACATCCTTTTCTTTGCTAAAAGCCAGAGGTGGAAGTCACTTTCCTTCAGGTTAACAAAATGCCAAAGGGACTGGGATAAGATTCAAGTTTAATTGAGGGTATTTTCTGTACTGGCTGAGGGCTGCTGCTTTGGGGAGAGGATGGTAGTGGCTTTCAGATGGTAGGTAGGTTGGTACTGGACATTTCAGCACTGGCTGGTTACTGCAGGTATACTACCAATGAGATAAACTGCTAACTTGCTCCCAGATGCTCTAACAATGAAAGGGTGAAGGAGAAACATCTTGTTAAAGACTTTTTTCCTCAGATATGGAACAAAATAGGAAGAGTTCTAGGCAGCCACCTGAAAACCAGGCGGAACATAGCTTGGTTATTCTTTTTCTAGATGCAGCCTTGAAGTGGTTAACAGGTTACATCAGGAACAATTTGTTTTGTCCAACCTCTATTCAGTTTACTGGAAGGACCTTTAGGTTGTGAAATGTACACTGTGTGTTCTCGTCCTGGTGCTAGAATGAAATATTTAAAAGAGGAAATGTTTTCAGTAATATTCCAGGAATCCTTGATTAAACACTGTTCCTCTCAGCATGAATGGTTCAGATATGAGCTTTTGGGCCCTTGAAAACAAACATGTTTCTGCTTTGATTCAAATTCTGCTCTGCCAGCGTGTAAGAGTTAAAACCACAACCTAATACTGCAGGGAAGTGTGTAAAGGGAAACCCCCAGATGGGACAGAGCAGCTCCTACAAAGGGTCCTCTTTCTGCTCAGGGCACGCACAGTGTCTCCTGTAGCAGGGTAGGAGAAGCAGTTTCTCCTGCCAGATGTACAGAGCAAGTGGGGAGATGAGCCCCTTGCTTGAGCAGACAGAAGACAAGCTGTACAGTGAGCCTGGGCTTGCCCTGTCCCAGAGCTGAGCTGACCAAAACTCATGCATGGTTTTGCCCTTTCTCAGGTTGGTTACAAAAGCTTCCAAGCCAAATGCTGCCTTAGGTTCCATATGACACTGGCTTCTGCATCACTGGAAATGATTGGCAAGACCGTGCTTCAGATGTTGTCACTGAGATTAGGGACTTACGGAAATAAATAGGGTTAAGACTGAGAATAAAAGCAGTGTGTTTGCCACAATCTGCTAGCAATATTCTTCTTACCATATATATGTGAGAAACATTGCAGAATCTGTCCCTGTCTTCAGATCTCCATATCCACTCTCTTCAATCTGTAACCACTTCTGCATGATCAGCTTTCACCTGCAGGAAAGTGCTGGTTTAATATAACTGTACCAGTAGGATCACACCATTTTCAGTATTACGCATTATTAGAAGTTATCTAGCCTTAGTGAAGGTAAGAAATGATAAGTAAGAATTTGGGGGCTAATCTTACAACGTTTTTGCCTTTAGGAGGACTTCAGAATGAAGTAACGAAGAATAGAAGGTAGATTGGAAGTTAGTTCACACACGTTGGAAAGGTGAAAGCAGAAATAGGTAACAGCTTTACAGGTGGTGCATTAGCTGTTCTCTAACATGCTTTACTGTTTGGAGAGTAAAAGAGCAACAGCACATCTCTATCAGGAAGAAGAAAACCCAGTTCACTAATTACAGATGTTGTTATGAAGAAAGGAGGGAATGCAAAGGAATGCATTAAAACTAGCCAAGAGAGAGGCAGCTTTTTCCAAAGGTGCACTATTTTTAGTGCTGCGTTTTGCTGTGTATCTGTGAAAGGGAAGCTTGAGCATCTTACAGGAGAGTACAGTGCTATGAAACTCATAACTAGGTTCAGGACTATTCAGACTCACCAATTCATGGGTTTTATAGTGCTTTATTGCATGCTCTGTTCTTTCTTACTGTGTGTTACTGCTTTTGCTTTGTTTTGCAGCTGTACCGTTTTGGAGAGACTGTTTCCATAGTTTTCTGGACAGATACATGGAAGCCAGAAAGCTTTTTTGACAAGATTGAGAAGAACAGGCAGAACGGAATGCACACCTTGTGCTTACTTGGTAAGCAGCAGCTCCCCGGGTTCTTGAGCTACCATCTCCCACAGCATCCAGAACCAGGAGTGATAGGCAGGAGATGAAGGCTGGGATTAAACAGATCTTCTCAGCTAGCACGTATGTCTGAAAATATACCCAAAACTGGAGCGTTGATGTGTGTGTCCTTAGTTCAGCCATTGCTCATGCTGCAGTGGGCAGGAATCTCTTCATTCCTCTTCAAAAAATCCCTAAGAAATGAAGCCTTTTTAGACATCACATAGGAGCAGGAGGCCCACATCTGCTCTAAAGATGACTGTGATTTTAAGCTAGATCTAGCTCAGGATCCAAATCAGATTGCAGTGACTAGCAGCTATCTCTTATTGACTTCATTAGGTTAGAGCTCAGCACATCTGACTCTCTGGGGAGCTGAACCATACATTTAACCACATTCCTGTTGTGTAAGGTCTTTTTCCTGAATTCTTTTGTCTAAGGATGTTTTGGGAAAGGCGATTGTCACATGAGAAGCTTCAGTGCTATAAAGCATCCTTGCCAGCCGTGGAGCTGGAACTGAATACTGACCACTGGCACCAGGCACTTCCATGGTGCTGCCTCATCTTCAGCCTGCCCAGCAATCCTCAGCTCACAGCCACTTTCTGAGTAACTCTACTAGTCTGGGTAGCTCCTGAAAGATCATGGAATCCCAGACTGGTTTGGGTTGGAAAGGACCTTAAGATCACCCAGTTCCAACCCCTGCCATGGGCAGGGACACCTCACACCTTGTAACCTGGTAGTTCCAAGGCACTTGCATATTTGTATATGTACAGTTCTATACCTTTTGTATGATCTTTTAGGCACGGCTGGGATCTCTCAGTGCTAAATAAATTAGTATTTTAAGTAAAACCAGTCTGTGGTAACTGGGGGATCCTAGGCAGGAAAGCAGTGTGTGAGCATCACTGCACACCAGTGCCTTCAAACTGGCTGAATTCAGATTCTGTTTTCAAAACTGGCTAAAAAGCTCTGGCACTTTGTTTTAAAGAAGGATGACTTTTGTCTTAACAAATGACTTTTTGGATGACTGGTGTTTAAACAAGGATTCTAACAACTGTAATATGTTAAACCAAAGTATTCTGTAGGTATTTTGTATGATCATTTCTATGATGTCCCTCTGTATCTTTTTTTATACAGTAGTGAGAGAGTAGAAGTTTGAACTGATAAAATTGCATTATAACCCATGTCCCATGTCAGGGATGGTTGTGGTGCCTGCATCTGATTGTAGCTCATACCTGAAAACTACCAATATGCAAACAAATTGTTCCCTTAATACTACTTGGTCATTTGGGCCCATGTATTTATTACTCGTCCAGCTAGAGAAGCACATAAAAAGGGAAGTGCTGATAAGCTTTGGAATTCCAAGTGACTTGACAGTCACATAAACAATTTGATAAACTATAGTAGTAATCATAATCTTGCAGCTCTGCATTTCCCCCCTTTCCTCAGCATCACTGTGGGTTTGGAGTTGATTGTATAACTCACATTATACTTCTCTTTAAAATCAAGGTGAAAAATGTATCCAGCTTTTACTGTGATACTCTTTTGGGGGCATTGGAATGCAGATGTTTGCGCCTGGGACACGTTGTGCTCAGTTAGTTTCATACAATTGCAGATGTGCAGAACCTCACCTGGCCCCTTCTCGCTTTTAGTTTTGCCCAAATCCTTTTTTCCTTCCCATAACAGAAGGTTGTTCTGAGTGTTCATGGGGACAGGAAGTGCTAACGATAGTCAGGTTCCCGCATGGCACTGATGTAATTGCTGTTGATCAGCCATCCTGTTCCACCTCTTGTGATCACAATGTACTCAGCATTTACAGGTAGTTCCAACACCGTGCTCTGCTTCACCCTGCTGGCATTTCCCTATCCTGGAGCCTGCTATTTGAATACTTAGAAGTGGTTTTATTTGTCTGTGTTGATCTGTGAAACTCGCCCTATTTTGGGGTAAAATCACACGCATAAAGTCCCAGTACTTTGTGATTAATTCACATCTGAAACAGTAGAATGTTTAGTCCATATTCTCTTCTCCTGCAATAGCTAAAATGGTCTTACAGAGTGTATAGAGTCTCCTCATTTAATTAAGCTTTACCTACATAGAAAACCGAGGAGTTTGAAGGGAACCTGTGTTTTAATACCTGTTTTGTTCCACAGATATTAAAGTGAAGGAGCAGTCTCTGGAGAATCTAATGAAGTGAGTCACCTTTCTGAAAATGTATAGAAACGCGTTCGTATGATGCATAAAACCCAGTGTCTTTATAAAGGAACAGAGGTTCTTTGTCCAATACTGCACTTACCTGCCCTTCTCTTGTCCTCAGCGGCCACAGTCTTTTGTTTCTTACAAGGAGTGGAACTTTTCTGCTCAGTACAATAGGACCTGGCTTTATTTACAGTAACTGAACGAAGCTGTGGCAAAGCATCATCTTCCTTTGAACTGTTTCTGTGAGAAGCATGAAGTCAGAAAGGAGTAAGCTTGGCAAATGCAGCCTTAATTCACTGTTCTGTCCCATCCCCAAACAGGTCAATAGCTGAAACAGTGTTTGGAATTCATTCTTCTTTACATTTGCTAGTAGCAGTATAACACATTGAATACATACCACCCTTCTTAAACAGCTAAATAAGCAATATATAGAAAACACTCTTAAGTTCATGTAACTGCATTCAAGAGACACTCTTGCCACATCTTAATCACCTCTCTGCAATCTCACCTTTCAGCAGTGGCGAATACAAACAGTTACTTTCTGCACGTGCTGTAACTCTGCTCTAAGTTAACATCTGTGCAGTCTCACAGTATCATTGAGGTTTGTTTTATCCTGGAGTTTCAAAATGCAGTCTCTTTGACTGAAGCCACAGTTGGCAAAGCAGCAGCATTTCATGTAAGAATGTGCTCCTAGTCTGTAATCAGACAAAGGTCTACAGGGCACTTGACAGAAAACCAGTAGGTTGCCCTTGAAGCCTAATCCATCCTTCAGGAGTAGCTGCAAAACCTGCATACTGCTTCCAGCAGCTGAATTTGCTTTTGGGGCTCACATGCTTTGCCAGCTGAAGGCCCTCCTGTTTCACAGGTGTGGTGAGAGCACAAGAGACTTCTGTCTTCCTTACAAATGCCACTCTTGTCTGAAAGGCCCCGTGTGAGAGCCTGGGCCTGGGTAAGGTCCATTTGCTGGTCTAGAGGGTTCTTGAAATAAACTGTAAGAACGCTGGGGATGATGAAGGGGGCTGTATGTGAAACTGCTCTACTTTTCTTTCCCTGCAGAGGAAGGAATATTTACGAGCCCCCACGCTACATGAGTGTGAATCAAGCTGCAGAACAGCTTCTTGCCATTATTCAAACCAGGAGGCTCCAAGGAGAGGAATCAGGTGCTGCTACTGCATTGTTTGTACTTGCTACGTACCCCTCTCAAGTCATACCCTGTGATCAGCCTCCAGCTGCTGCTCCTTTCCTCTTCATCTTTGCATTCTCTTGCTCTGCAGTAGAATTGGGCTGCCTTAAATCCTAGTCCTGAGGTGGATTTGGCAGAGCCTGGACATAGTGTGGTTCATCAGAGATGAACAAGCACTAGTGGCTCCTGGAGGTTTAGTCCAAGCCTCAGTTTGGTGACCCTGTCCTGGTTCTACCCATCTTTAACTGTGAGCTCTTTGCTCCATTAGAGTTGCAGAATGATTCCGAGCACTTTAGAGCAGTTGAGCTTCCAAAATCAAAATCAATGCTGTGTTTTATTCAGAGCAGTCACACTCTGCTCTACAGCATGAGCCCAAGTTAACCCTGCAGTGCAGAACCGTGATTCTGACCTTGAGCTCTTAACACTGGTCAAGAGCAAACTGTGAACAATGGTTATCGAGGCCAAGGGTGAAATCACAGCGGCTGTAAAGATGACTGTTGTGTCACACAAAAAGTCTATGTTCCTCCTTTTAGGAGTTTATTCCTTAAATACTGTTAAAATGAAAATCCTTTCATTTTGGCCTTTGCATAGAATGAATCAGGAACGGCAGTTTCCTCAAAGTGAACACCATTCCTGAATGAATTTCCTGTTCTGCTCTCTTCCCCTTCTTGCTTATGAACAGCCCTAAGATACAGCTTTGCTTTATTTGAAGAACAAACTTCTTTCTAGGCCCCTCTAGTGATTTATGAAATGGAGGTTTAAGAAAGCAGTGTTAAGATTCAAGCATTTTGAGTACTTTTTCCTTTATGCTAGGCCCATTGGTCAGTAAATGAAGCATTTAATCTTCTTTCTTACAGCAATCACTGAAAACACCATCTGCGTTGGTCTCGCACGTGTGGGTGCTCCGGATCAGAAGATTGCTTCAGGCACACTGGAGCAGATGTCCACAGTAGAACTAGGTGGTCCACTGCATTCCTTGATTGTTACAGGCACTCTGCATCCTCTGGAGTTAGAAATGCTTCAGCTGTTTCCTGTGGCTGGCTCCAGTTTGGAACAGCATGCATGTCAAAGGACCACTTAAATAAAAACAAGGCATTTACATTTTCATTCCTTCTTTCCTTTCATGACAGCATAAAGTTATCCTTGTGCCCAGTTAGAGCTTGCCCAAGCGCAGTTAGATTGTCTATTGCTTCAGGAGACAACCCTGCAGGAACACAGACCTGCCTTCACCTGAGGCTACAAAGTGCACCTGCTGGTATCAGCTTCTAACACATCGACACCCAACACGTGAAACCTTAAAACCCGTTTGTCCAATTCAGTTCTTTGACATATGCATCAGGCTGAGGCTGATGGCCAGGGTAAGAAGTGCAAGTAGAGAACTGAGGAGCAGCAGGTATCTGTCTGGCATCACTTTTGCTGCGGTGCAGTCACCAAGCCTACCACGTGCACTGGTGTAAGTGCATCCTGGACGCTTGGTTTCAGCATTGCAGAAAGTCAGTAGTTCTCCCACCAACAGAAACCATTCGTGTGCAAAACCTGTTAGGGCTGTACTCACCTTTACACTTGGGAGAGTGAAGAGAGACAGGTGAGAACGTTCTTCATGGCTAAACTGAGAAGAACCAGAACTCACCCTTTGGATGTTGGTGAGACGGGGAGAAGCTGCACAGAGTTTCTTATTCCAGCAAGCTGCAATTTAAAATAGAAGTGAATTTCTTCCTGTGTTCATGGTACCATTTAGGAAGTTCTGGACTCAGAGGGTCAGAAAACAGACTGCAAGACTTCTTTTTCCTATCAGTCTGCTGTTGGTTGCCTTTTCAACTGCTCTTCACAAGATCTACAGAACAAAGCAGACCTCTGTGAGTACTTTTTCTTTTTAAACTAAAGGTTTATTGGAAAGAAATTGGATTCCAGAGCTCTTCAGCAACACAGGCTATTGAACATTGTATCTAGACTGGACTCAGGTACAAAAGATTACATTACAAATTGCCAATCCTGCACTTGGGACAAGTCATGGCCAAGCTACTAAGATGAGCATCCCAGAAGAAAACCATACGTAAGTCCTCAGGATTGTAGTGAGCTGCCTTGTGTTGGCATTAAGGTTTCTTTACAGATGTTTGGATATACTGTACTAGTCAGCTTAAGCTCACTGCTAAGAGTTAATTCCTGTCATTTAAAGGCAAGTGCTATGCTGAATGCTACCAGGAATGATTTTGGCCATGTCCTCATTCACAGTATTCCAACACTGCAGCTGGAATACTGCAGCGATTCATTTAGCTCTGGCACAAGATCCCAGCACACACATGGAAGTGAAATCCACAACTCCTTTTACACATGATTTCTACCGAATTACCACAAGGCTGGAACCTTTTGTGGGCAAGACAAGCAGATGAGCCAGGATTTGCACACAGTGGGACATGTCACATGCCAGGCACAGCAGAAGCCCAACTGGCATCTCTTCATAGCAGAGCAGTCTCTGGCCAGTGAAGTCCCAACAGGGATGGTCACTGCAACAAAGCCAGAACGGAAGGAATCCAAAAGGAAACTGTGGCAAGTTACTGACAGGGATTGTCATAGGAGAGTAAAGGAGGAATTAACCACGGAGCCAGGATTAGGGATCAGAGAAATGGATTATTGAAAAAAAACCCAGAAAATCCCTTTACACTTATTCCCAAACACGCTTACAAGGGGTGGGATAATCAAGAATCCCAGCAAGCAGCAGTCTGATGGCTGCTGGGGAAAACAGGACAGGGCTCAATTAGTAACTAAAGCTGTTGCTCTGACCAGTATTTAAAGATCGTGTTACATGAGCAGTGATTAGGATTTGCATTTTATAGAAGCATGAAGATTCTTCCTGCAGCTGCAATGTGCACTGTGAGAGACAGGCCGTGAACTTCACAGGTCACTCATGCAGGGGGTGGAATGGGTGGAAAACTGCAGCTCAGCAGCAGCTTCTCTCCCCTCCTGTACCTTGTTTTCGTTCCCAAAGCAGGTTCACTTTAAAGAGAAACCCTTTCCTTCCTTCGCTTTGGGACCCAGCTTCACTTCTTCAGAAGAAACATCAAGGATGTTAAGAGTCACTTAACTTTTAGGAGCAGCAGTTTCCACTTTTATGTAAATACTGTGTCAGCAGCTCTAATGATGCAATTAAACCCTCGCCTTAGTAAGCACTATTACATAAAGAGCAGAGTCAGTTATTTGGACCAGCACTTTTTGCCTTGGCTCAGCAAATCACACCAGAAATGAAGCTCTCTGTAGGGGCAAGTGATGTGAGGAACAAGTTTATCCACATGCAGAGACTTACAGGATGAGCCTATAAAAGGACCAGAACATTATCCACCACCACCCCCTGCCCGAGATAGACCAGGGACCCCCCAGTCAGCCTCAGCCACAGGGAAACATGAGCAAAGCACACTCTGAAGCCCTGGTTCCAAACTCAGTGCTGCATAGCAGGAGGCTGAGTTTCAGCAGATGATCTGCACATGTTGACCCTTCTCTTGCTGTCAGTTCTTCACACGAACCCTTGCCGAAATGAGGCGTCTCCCATCAAACATTAAAAACAATGTTCTACAAGCAGCCAAGTGTTAGGAATTAGCAAGCCAGGAAATAACAGCACTTCAAGAGTCATTAGAAGAGAAGCTGCACTTTGAATTGCATGATCTGTCCTGTCCTCTCCTAAAACCCAAGCGAGTATCCCCTTAGTAGGTAAATAAGAGCTCCGCTGTCACTTTGGTCACTGACATACCAGATGTGGTGGTTGCTGCCTATTGGACATGTCATGATCTACTGTCTTTTGGAGAGTTTTGTGATGCTTGGTTTCCAGCAAGCCTAAAAAGGCTTAAAGTCTCCTTGGAATCTGTCTTCCCTACAGCAGCCTTGATTATGTTTAACAAACAAACAATCCATTTCTTACTATGAAACATCAATTTGTCCTCAAAAATAATGAGGAAAGTGCTATCTCAGTTAGAAAACCATCGTATCTGTTGCTGGCATATGTATGGACAAGTCATAACAAGCAACAAAAAGATGTCAAAAATCATTCCAATCTACATTGGGTGATTATAACCAGCTGAAGGGCTTTTTCACTCCATTTCCCAGACATCTTATAAAGAGTTTGTAGATGTACATCTAAAAGAGAACCACCACCAAGGAAACCCAACTGCCATTCAGGCAGATTCTCACTTGGAAACAAACCATTAACTGTTGTCTTTCCATTAGGAAAACTAAATCAGCTCCTGTGCTCAGCAGCGTTTCACCAAGTCCCCAAGTGCTTCACTGGTCCTGACACACACTGGTGTAAGAGTGATTTGAACCAGAGCCTGGCTCTTGGATCATGACACAATTGCAATGAAGTTGTCTGGTGCTCGTCTTGAAAGTGATACCAGTTGATCTTCTCTAGCCTCAAAGAGTAATGCTAATAACTAGAACAAAAAGTAATAATCAAGGCATCATGCTGTCAATCAGCAAGAAGCAACATAACAAAGCAGCAATGAGGGATCTGTGCCCTGTGAGCAGAACCAGGCTTTAATTACCTTGTTTGTGAACATACATGCAAATGGTATCTTAAACTGCAGCACTCGGATCTGCTCGGCAGATTCTGGCACCCTACCCCGTGCTGTGGAGCTGTCTGATCCCATCCTCTAGTCAGGAACTGCAGGCCTGGCAGAGCACCTACGAGGGCAGACAGGGAGGGAGCCAGACGGGTGCAAGCAGGAGGCCAGGAGAAATGTGCAACAGTGCTGCTGGCATCCCCAGGAGAATCAAACAGCATCAGGTACCAGCAGTAGGGAAAGAGAAGGATGTGAAGACTGGAGCTTAAAAGCAACATGTATGTGGCTTTCCACTGCTGGTTTTCTTCACACCCAGTTTTCAATTCAAGCACAAGAGCATATCCCCAAGCTCTGCACAAAATCAACATTCAGGTTTCAATATCTCACCTGGAAAATTCCAGAACGACCTATCAATTTGGCAACCATCGTTTTTTCACATTAAGGATAAAAATCCAGGTGCTCTATAGGAATGACAGAAGGAATGCAAGAAACTCCACCTCCGAGGTGAACTCATCAACACCAGTGGCAAACCACTTCCACAATGAATCGCAGGTACTTTCACAGTGCCCAGTACTTACTTCAAACACTGTCAGCCTCAGAGGGCCTTGATTCCAGTGCTGCCATGTGGCAGGTACCAGAACATCCCAGCACCAGAAGTCCATCCCAGCCAGCACTGGCTATCATTTATGAGAAAAATGCCCATCTTGGTTTTGACTCCACAATGTTCTGTGCGTGAAACGTCCTCTTTAGAGTCCTCCGTTGCCAAGTTAACTCCTACGGCATAGTGGAATTGTCACCTGGAATACCAACTATAGCAGATTGTCTTGCAACAACACTTGGATCAAACTGCAGGGAGAATTTCTTTTCCATGGAAACACACAAGGCTGCAGTGAGACAGTAAAAGACACCAGACTTGTCAACCAGGGAAAAGCCTTAATCTTAAAGAGCATGAACCATGGTCCTTATTTCCGTTGCAGGTATAACCAACAGGAACAACTGTTTGCAGTATTTGGAGAGGCAAAAGTTCTCTCACCAATCACTTTAATAAAAGTCATTACAACCTATTAAAATCAAGGAGATGAAATCCCTAAATGGTTTAGTGAAAGCTTCAATTTCTCCCACCATGTAATTTGAAAGATAAAACACTTCAAGCATTGCTTCCATCACCAGCACCCTCCCTCAGCTGCCTGTTGCTGCAGGGACTATGAACATGAGTAGTGTCACGTAAAGTCTCATAACCCACAACTGTGTGGGGAGACTAAGAATTGGAAGTAAATCTGATATTTTGACTAAAATCATTTCCACACCGTATCCAGCTTGTTTTGGAAGCAAGTCTCTTTGCCTTTTACATTGGAATTCTGCTGCCTGGTAAGATGGAAGTGCAAGGGAAGTCTAACATCTACAATTATGCGAGTACACAACCCCCCACATCACTAGTAAATAATCAGACTGCATACAAGATACTTGTAAAAGTAATAAAACCCTTTGATGCTCCTGATTTATGCTGGCAAATACCTATCCTGATATAAAAGGCACTTTGAAAACCCAATATGGTTTG